TGTATGTCTTCCCAACCCCACGTCTTTCTCCCTTTTATTTATCCGCTTTTGATGGTTAGATTAGGGCATATTTTAATTAGCATACAGTATGACAGCATGTTTGCATTCATTCATCTGTTTTGCATGCACCGGGCTCGGCACATCATACTAACTGCATTGTATTTTCAATTCCAAAGTTGAATACATGATAGTTGTAGCATTTCATATACCATCATAGAATAGCCGAGCCTGCTATAATTGCATTTTGCATGCGTTGCATTAGGCATTTCTGTATAGTTAGGATCATGCATGATTTCTAATGAAGTTTCTATTTTGGCTTGGAGTACTCGGTAAGCTTTATGCTTTAGCATCCTTGCATGCGTGTGAGTGACTGCCATGAATAGCATGCTTACCATGAGGCTATGTGCCTATCTGATATAACTGCCTGAATGCCTGTGGGTGGAGATTGGGTTATCTGAATTGGAATAAATCATCAAATGTTTCAAGCCTACCTGCGGGTAGCAAACCATTTTCAAAAAAAAACAAACATGAAATGTTTCGTCCCAATTCAAGGCGACCCGGTCTATATTTGTATGCTGCGCGCATCACATAATAACCTAGGCTAATAACCGGAATAAGGACTCACAATGTTTTCAAAAATTGATATCATGGTTAGTAGAGGCCGGTCTATGACCGGGCGAGCGGGGGTGCTCACGAAGTGACCTTCCCCAATCGTACCCAAGTTCCCGAGCCGAGGCAACTTTGGTGAGGACGGACACGTGGCCTTTGGCACCGAGTCAGGGTGTCCTAAATTTCCCATTAAAAAACATTTAGGTGGCGACTTTGTATCTGGCAAAGCAGTCCATGTTTGGCACTTCTTTCAAAGATCTGTTTTCTCAAAACGATTTGCCGGATTTGGACTCTTTGGTTCAGACTTAAAACCGTGACAATTTTAAGAGTCCTGAGCTATAGTGACCCCAAATGAACAGAACGGGAGCTCGTTCATCCCGGGGTGTTCGGGGACGTCTACAAATGGCTTATCCAAAGAATACCACATACTTCCCAACAACCAAAGTACCAAAAGCTATGGTGTGGTTCATGAGCAAATATGAAGCATGGGAATAAAAGCAGAAAAAGAAATGAGCTAGAAACAAGGGAAAATGAATAGCCAGATAAGTTAAAAAAATGAAATAAAGAAGAAGAAGAAGAAGAAGAGAACCACAAGAGGAAGAAGAAGAAAAACAAATAAGAGAATTGAAAACAGCAGAGAAATAGAGTAGTAGACAAAAAAGAGGAAAAAAGAAAGAATAATAGAGATAGAGAAGGAGAAGAAACAAGGAAACAACTAACTAGGGTGTCCAATGTGAAAAAAAAAAAAAAAAAAAAACTCGAAGATCATAAACTAGGTCCTCTTGCTTGGGGGGTCAAGACATGTAATGCCCTACCCACTTAGTCCCAAGGTGACACCCATCAAATCATGACCTGGGCTTTAGGCTTGCCAGCCCCAATTGTGTACTTGGCTAGTTCTAGCAAGCTGAGAGGCTTCTAGGCCGCCAATGCCACCTACCAAACATGGCCTTAATTAAGTTGGAGTTCATTGACCTTCCTTAGTAGTATAATTAGCTAGCTTAATACAAGACTTAAGAGGGTTAGTGGAGCAATCCAGTAGAGGAATCTAAATGTGTAAATGTGGCCAACGCAGAAGTTGCACGCCAACATATCTTGAGTATTGTTGTCAAATCATGAATCGTTTTATTAAAATAGTGAATCGTATCGAATCATGAATCACAAGATTCATTTTATTTGATATAATATATAATTTTATATATCTATATACATATAAAAATTCACTTAGTGTGTTTAAAATGATGTAAATATCAATATAACTAAACTTTATATATGTATATATACATATAACATCATATATATATATCAATATAACTAATTGATCTCTTCTATATATCTTGTTAGTTTAGCGAAAACGACGTCGTTTCACGCATAAAGTAAGAAAAAACAAAAATAGAATTGAAGTGAATCGTATAAATCGTAACGATTCACTCAATTTGTGATTCAATAACACAATTCGAATTGTTTTTGTTGAAAATCATATCGAGTCGTATGAATCGAGTTGTAAATCATACGACACTAACAACCATGGTCTTGACACCTCACCAAGCCAATTGTCATGACCCAACTCGCCCCTATGGATTAGAGTCATAATCGGCCAGTAATCATGAGATTACCTGCGGCCTCAGTCAAAAATCAAATCATATTTAATAATAATGGGCCAAATTGCGGAAGCAAAATTTACAAAGATTGTCTAATGAGCTGTGCATACATGGCTCAACCAAAAAACATTCTCAAATATGAAATAACTCACACTATACAAACATCCATATTATGCACGTATTACATAAGTCCAGGATCATTCAAAGCTAGTATTAACAAAAACCAAAGTTATACATAGGGTTGGTCATACGTGACCACAAAAGAACAAAAGGAAAAGCAAAACAAAGTAAGGCCTCTTGCGTGAGGTGACCTTGGTTGACTCCTCAAAACTTGGTTTCTCATTGCTCATTGGGGTTGAGGCTGGACATCCCACTGCTCACCTACATACATATAAATAAGGGGTTATCTAACGCCCAGTGAATACTACCAAAGCAAAGGAGTTCATGAACAAAATTCTTACAATCATAATTCACTATTACGTTTGGAAATCAATAATAAAGCAAAACGACCTCAGGTCTTTTCTATCATTTCTCAAACACGAAACGACCTCGGGTCCATGTAGCATACAAAATGACCTTGGGTCCATCATGGGCAAAACGACCTTGGATCCAACTTACACACAGAACGACCTTAGGTCCAATACACACAGAATGACTTTAGGTCCAATGAACATAGAACGACCTTGGGTCTAATTCATATACATATTTGTGTGCACACATTTAAATCCATGGTCATATACATATTCATTCTTGTATCTAAACGACCTTAGGTCCATTCAATTCCTTATCCCGAACGGCCTTCGACCTATTTAACAATTATACAGAATGGCCTTAGGCCCAATCCACATCCTTACAAAATATATTGAACGGCCTTAGGCCCATTTCATACCCATACGTCGATCACTTCGCATATTCCATTCCAAATTAATGATTAGAATATTCATTCATAATATCACTTCAAAAGTTTAGAACCTTACAACATAGGCATCATTTAGAAAATAGTGCATATACAAAAATATATTTGCTAAGATATTACTTACAGTGTTCTGGTGCTTGATTTGTCCTTGCACTTGACCCTACATAATTCATAACACATTGGATCATAATACCATTCAATCCATTTTTTAGTTTGCCTAATGTTCTTAGACTTCTTTCGTGTCCTTTAATTCATTTACAATGTTCAATGCATGCCTAAGAGTGCTTAGAAATGAAAGAGAACAAAAAACGAATCATAAAACAACTTTTCAAAATTTCTGAAACAGGGTTCTTCGCTCGAGCGCAGCTTTTCTCACTCGAGCGGACCCCTTTGGTCTGCAAAAGTATTGGCTGCCTCATTTTTTGCGCTTGAGCATGATTTTGGTCACTCGAGCCAATAGTCAAAACATGTGAGTGGGTGCTTGAGCGCAATTCTTCTCGCTCGAACGGACATCAATGTCTGCAAAACTTCTGGGAGCCTGATTTTTACGCTTGAGTGACACTTTCCTCACTCAAGCGGACATGACGAATTCTGGAATTCCAGAATTGTATTTGAAGCTCAAACTTCATGTTCAAAGGTCCAAAGCTCGTGTTTTTGGTACAAAAACATGGAAAGACAGCATATAGCATGAGAACATGAGTAATTTGAGATCAATTGTCCAAAACCATGATCCAATTCTCAAATCATTTCATATTCTTCTTGACAACTTCAAAACATATGCAACCAAGCTTCATAACTACATGGATTATGCATGCATGTGTGATATGGATTCTAATACCATTTCAAATGGTAGAAATGATGGTGAAAATCATGTGGCTTAACAAAATTATGCATGCATGAGCACTTTGGCACCAAATTCTTCATATTAAGTTTGTATTCTACAACAATTCACCAATTCTTCTTGAATACACATATTCATGAACATATTCATGAACTTTAACTTATGAATTAGAGTCCAAATACTCACTTGGAGCCTTCAATCCTTCTAACTTTATCAAATTCTTGAGCCTAGCTTCCCAATTCTTCAACCTTGAAGTCAATTCTCTAAGAATTTGGTCTCTCTCTCTCTCTCTCTCTCTCTCTCTCTCTCTCTAAATCAAGTATTTTCCCTCTCTAAAGTGTATAGACTCAACCAAGAGGTGAGAAATGAGCTTAATGATATGAGTCAAGCCCCTAATTAGCACAAATATAGGTTTCACTAATTATATTGACTAATCAAGGCTTAGGCCTAATCAAATGAACTTAATTAAATCGAATTAATTTGATTATTTTGATTCGAATCAATTTTTAATTAAATTTTATCGTAGGCTCTAAAAATTAGGCTAATTGCAATAATATAGTCAATTTCGGTTTATGTCGCCTCTACGGTCTTTAGTTTAAATTTTATAATAGAAAATCAAACTTCTTATGGTGAACAGATAGAAATTCAAAAACATATATAATCATATAATTAGCATTCAAAATCATATCAAGCTCAAAATTATAAGCATAATTAAGATTAATTAGCATAATATATAGTAGGGTTGTCACACCAATGTTCTCTATGAGTGATACCTATTACATGGATGCACTACACCATGCACTCTTGGCTGATCACAACAACAATAATGGAAGTGGGAGGAGTAAGGAAGGGACATTGCAAGCAAAAAACAAAAAAAAAAACAAAAGGAATAAGGTCAGGGAAAGAAATGGGATTCTTGACATATATAGAAGAATGTAAACTTAAATAGTAAAATTTCTTCTTGCTTTGCATTCTCCTATAGCAAGAAACTACACACACGCACACCCCTTGCTAGCACTCAGATGGAGAACCTTAGAACCTATGTTACATGAACTAAGGAGTCTATTGCATCAGACACATTTTGTAGACCCAATGTTCTCAATCATAAAAAATAAAAATAAAAATTAAAAAAATTCCCCATATTGAAAGTGTTCATTTTCTTTCTTTATTCGGCAATTATTCTTTTATTAGAGAGATTAATTTAATATCCAACCAAATTTCACACACTGAATGAATATTGACTGAGACATCTGTTCAAACAACCCTTAAAACACGACAGAAGAGAAACTATGATAGAAGTGCATCAGAATTGGTAGGCCCAAACTGTAAAACTAATATATAATAGAATCTACGTTATGAATACCTAAGAGCATCTCCAATCCTTACTATTTTCTTCATTGAATTTGATTTGAGGAAAAAGTGCTAAAAAATCATCACAATTTTTTTTTAATCAAATGTTCATCAAAACAAAGGACACGCATTTTTTTCATCAAACTTTAATTTGATGAAAATTTAAAAAGATTAAACAGCAAGGGGTTGGCCTGTTGGCAACTTGGTCTTGGTTGTGCTCCCTCCAAAGTTTAGGGATAGAATTCTTTGGGGCATTGGACTGGGAAAAATATTTAAATTAACCGTGGTACACTTACGAAAAACTCTTGCCGAGGGTAGTCGAGCTTTGGTCCAGACAGCCAGTGCCAATCAAAACATAAATAAATAAATAAAGCATTGGAGATGGATTTTTTTTTTCATCAATTTGATGAAAAGGGAAATTTGGGATAAGGGATAAATTTTTAGTAGGATTTGATGAAAGGGTTTGAGTTGAAAAAAGTAGTGAATTGTTTGGAGATGCTCTAACTGATCTGAATAATTAACAAAAGCAGCAGTTACATTGATCAATATCTCAAATATTTGACAAACATCAACTTCCACTTATTCAAATTACAAACGCAATTAATTAGTTTTTTTATTTTATGTTTTGGGAGAAAAAATAATCAAAGAAAATTAAAATTTCTTTTTAAAACAAATTATTTTTTTACAAAATTAAAGAGATTGAGAAAGGGGGAAAAACCTATTACTACAATCGTTTAATTAAGCTTCTCTCATGTTGGGATCTCAACGTGATATAACTTGAAGGGTCCGTAGGGCTCAACACAGGTCTCATTTCGATGATTCGAATTGTACATTTTGTAAGACTTGAAATGTATATTATCTATGAAAAAATTTAGAGTGATTCGATAATCGTAACTTTTTCATTTTATCGCATTTATCTCTAAAAAAATAGTTGATAAATACAGACCATTTATTGTTTTAGAAACAAATGTAATAAAATGAAAAACTTATGATTATTAGGTTGCTCTAAATTTTTATAGGGACAATATACATTGCGAGCTCTACAAAATGAACGGTTTAGATCATCGAAACAAGACCCGTGTTACGCCCTACGGGCCTCTTAATTTCTATTATGTTGAGATTTTAACATGAGAAAAACCTAACCCATGTCAAAATAAGACAAAATTTAAATAAATCTTCAGGCCTTGTTTGGGGACTGACTATTTTAGCTAAAAAGCCAAAAAGCCAACTAAAACTAGTCACATCACCTCTCTACTTTTCTGCACATATTTTCGTTAAAAGTCAAAAAGTTACTAAAATAGCATGTTCCCAAACGAGACCTCAGTTCAATAAATTATTTAGTGTTTTTGAAGCACGTTAACACTCAATATTATGTCTCTTAAAATAATTATTATTTTAAAATGCTACTTGAACTTCTTCTAAAAGTATTTGATAATTCCTTATTGGGGTACTATTTTTTAAGGAAGAATCACAATACAATTTGATGAGAAAATAAAAAAATAAAAAAATTACCCAAATAACATGGGTGCAAACCCCTCCATGTTTATGTAAAAAAAAAAAAAATTATCTATCCCACTACTATGTAATTCCCTCATTTTTTAACAATCCATGCTCGCTATTGTTCATCAGTATAGTTGGCTTGCTTTTATGATTATTGTTTATATACCTTTTAGGTCAAGATTTGTGAGTTCTTTAAATCATTTCTATATAGGTCTCGTAATTATCTTCATAATATAAATTGAATTTGGCTTAAATTTTTATCTCTTGAATTATAAACATAGACATGATCTTTATTCAACATGATTTTCTTGTTAAAAACTCGGGCCCGTTCCTATTACGATGATACAATGCTTTGTAGCACTTTGACTTATCTCTCATGTTATTTGTGTATTTCGTTTTTTTTTTTAAATAAAATTAATTAATTTATTGGTTAAAAAAAATGCCTATAAATTTTTCTCAAAAAAAAAGTGTCTAACCCTTAATGTCAATCCCTTAGTCAAAGGAATTGACCTCTAATTAGTTGATTCAGTGGAATGAATATCAAGTTATCACAATAAAAGGGATCTCAAATTATATTGAGAGAACAATTTTCATCCCATACACCACACTGAGTAAGAGATGACCAGTTGAACTATAATCCATATATATATAAAGTTTGAGCTCTCTTTATACTATGTTTGGTTGGAAGATTTAGGAAGAAATTTGAAAAGAGAAAGGGAAAATGTGTGTAAAATTAGGTGAAATATAAGTATGTTTTATTCACATATTACTTATTTTTTCCATTTCCCTTTCCAAATCTTTTCTCAAATCGCCCAACCAAACACAGTATTAGTGATTTAATTTTAGAGAATTTTCTAAGTAGATAACTCATACAAAATAATAGGTTGATCCGATATCGATAGTTATTGGATTACATTTGTTTTTTTAAAAAAATAAATAAAAAATAGATGGTTTTAGTATTATACTTACTATCTATTTTGTAATCATAAATATGTTTCTATTATATGATTATTGATATCCAATCTATTTAATTTTTTATATAAATGATGTATTTGATCCTACAAATAAAAAGGTTAATCACCATCGTTGGTCCAAAGTAAGCCCACAACATCTCATATTGGACATCCGATGAAGCTTTGCCCATTAAAAAAAAAAAAAAAAAAAAAAAAAACCTTCAAAATAGAAAAGTACTAAAAGAAACCAAACTCAGTAATACCTATAACACTTAATAATGACAATTTAGCAACAATTTATAAAAATCATGATAAAAAAAATTACTAATTGTCAATTTATCATGATTTTTATAAATTGTTGCTAAATTTTAGAATTAATGACTTTTTTGTGATAAATTTTTCAAATTGCTGCTGAAAGTTAAAAGGAGGACTGAGACAAATACAAAAAGAATCTCAGGATTTAAGGCTTCTAACAAAATAAATTATGAGTTTTGAATTTTATCAATTTTAATTTTAATTTTTTGATTTGTTTTCAATCTAAATCATTCGTCTATTTTTGTTAAGTAAAATTGACATAAAATAGTATTTTAGTTATTAAACTCAATGTAGATATACATAAAATGTTTAAAATACCATTTTTATTGAGTTTAATGACTAAAACATCTATTTTTCATCTATTTTACTTGACGAAAATAAGCAAATATTTATATTGAAAACTAATAAAAAATTTAGGATTGAAATTGACAAAATAAAAATAAAAAAAAACTCATAATTTACTTTTGGTTTGCATTTTCAAAAATTATTTTTGGACCAGTTTTCATTTGTCTTTATTGATTTTTTATTTATATTTTAGTCATTTTATGTTTTAGTCATTTTTTAATTTTTTTTAGATACATCAAGATTAGATGCATCTAAAAAATACAAGATTTAACTAAAATATGAAAAAAATAACTAAAAATAAACGAAAATTAGAACAAAAATGCAAACAGGTTTTTGTTATAATTTTTGTTTATTTTTAGTGATTTTTTAAAAATATTTTAATCAATTTATTTTACTTTTTAGATATATCTTGATTAAATTCATCTGCAAAATATAAATATTGACTAAAATATAAAAAAAATTCAATAAAAATAATTTAAAATTATTTTTTTTAAAAATCAAACTAAACAAGTATTATTTTTTTTGGTAGTTTTTTTTTTTAAAAAAAAATAAATAAATAAGCAAAGATTCCAAATAATTGAATTGAGTCCAAAATAATCAGAATTCTCTAACCTCTCCATTCAAAGCCATCACATAATAATGTCACAAATTAATGATAAAATATGACATCTCGTCCCATTTCATGTTATCTCCTCAATCATTTAACATAATATATAGTGAACTCGATTACAATGATCAATTATAATCCTTATGGCCTACCACTCAGCCATGTTAGCCAATGGGTAAGGGGTTTTTTTTTTTTTTGACATTACACAATAACAAGATTTAAATTGTACATAAGTTAAGGGGTTATAATTGATCATTTTTCAATATGAACACGACAATGACACAACTTAATAATACAGGTAGTTTTTTTTTTTTTGTGATCAACAAAAGAAGAAATTTTATTAATGAAAAAGATTACATCAATCAAAAAGACAAAAAGAGAGGGTACACAAGCATCATAGCGAACAGAGAGATCCCAACTAGGTTGGCACTCAAGAGCACGCTTAATCATATGCTAACACGCCAAGAAGTTGATGAGAAACAAACCTCCACAAGACTACAATCAAACCCAACTACAACTCCAAAGTAACAAATCAAATGCCCCAGATGAATTGCCCCAGTAGCAGCAACAGATTAACAGAGCCAAAGCAACAGAGTCAAAGCAGATCAGCAAGCTAAAGAAAATAGAACAACAACCAGAGAAGAACAGATCATAAGCAGATCAGCAAACACCTCAGATACCAAAACAATCGGAAACCCAAAACAAACTATCTAAAGCATAGCAACCCAAAACAAACAATCCGGAGCATAGCAAAACTAGTAGCACAAAACTCATCATAACCCCAATAACCAAAACAAACAGAGTTAACCCATCATCTCCAACCCTTAAAGGTGTTAACTCACCCATTTAATATTTGAGACAATCCCATGAATGGAGTAGAAACAACCCAAATCATAAGACTTCACCCACATGACCACTCTAACTTTTATTGCCTCACACAAATCTTCAATATTAGGCTGAAGCTTCGTTTGACATTATCTACGGTAGCCAACTTTTTTGTGTTGAGACTTTTTTAGCTTGGCTTTTTTAGCCTCATTTGGCTTTTGTTTTGGGATTTTTTTTGACTTTTGTGAGAGAACAAGTGTAATGATTATGATTTGGATGTGACATTTTGTCTTATTGGCTTATATAACCTATTTTGTCTTTTTGTGCTTTTTTACTCCCAAAATGTTTACCAAACGAGGACTGAGTATTATTAAAAATGCAGTCATTACTATATAACCATAGAGACCAAACTACGGAGATGAAAATAACTCTCCAAACTTGCTTTGCCTTTTTCCTAAACTTCCACTCCAATCACCAATGCATCAAGTCACATAGGGCATGATTTTAGACCAAACATCCCACGCAAAGAAACAAGATAGAAGAAGGTGATTAGCAATTTCCACATCAGCTTTACACAACACACAGGGCAACACTGCAGGACCTGACAATACACCAATTCTGCTAAGAAATGAAGAAGTTTTTAGCCTACCCTTCCAAGCAAGCCAGGTAATAAACTTAGCCTTAGGAGGAGCAAAATTATTCCACACTAAATCTGGTAAGCTATACACAGGGCCAAGACTTTGCATGCACCAGTTATAGATATCTCCAACTTTAAACAACCCTGACTGCTGAGCTTTCCAACTAATGGAATCTTTTTGATCACTATGTGGGCAAGGCCCTGATCCCAACATATTTTGCAGCCTAAGCACCTCATCTACCTCCCAACCAAGAAGGGGCCTTCTAAAATTAAAGCACCAATTATTGGTGCTGTCCCGATAAAAAAGCTACAATTTCAGAGTGATCTCTTTGTCTAAAGTCAGCTGGTACAACCTAGGAAATTGGGATTTAAGACTTAAGAATCCCCTCCAAATATCATCCAAAAACTTCACCCTATTCCCATCACCAATCCTAAGCTCCACATTTTCCACAAAGAAATTATACAACCTAGGATTTACATGTACCACAGCAATAATATCTCTCCAAATAATAGAAACAGACCCAAAACCATTCAATGAAGGGAACCAACCTCCTCCGGATACACCATATTTGGCACAAATCACTAATTTCCGCAAAGCTTCATATTCCAAGGCATATCTCCACCACCACTTAAGCAACAAGCACTCATTAGTCACTAGGAGATTTCAGATACCAAGACCTTCTTGAGTCCTAGGCAGCTGCACCTCCTTTCATGTTACCAAATGAATTTTCCTTTGAGATGCATCTCCTCCCCACAGGAACCTTCCGTCAATCTTATCAATTTCTTTAGCCACACACATCGGAATCTTAAATAAAGACACATAGAAGATAGGTAGGGAAGACATAACAGACTTAATAAGAGTGACTCTCCCGGCATAAGAGAGCATCCTACGCTTCCAACCAGATAATTTCTTTTTAATTCTTTCCGTCACTGGCTGCCATACTTGCTTTCTACCTGGATTGGCACCAAGTGGCAATCCAAGATACTTTATAGGAAGATTATGACTTAGACAATTCAGTTTAGCTTCAAATTCTTCCACCAACCCATCTTCAACACCCACACCACAAATCAAATTTTATGAAAGTTTATTTTCAATCCCGAGACCACTTCAAAGCATCTCAAAATGTGATTCACAGCCACAATCTCAGACCAATTAGCCTCACAAAATATGATAATGTCATCTGCGAACTGGAGATAAGATATATTAACCCTCTACCCACTACCACTCCTTTTATAATCCTCAGCTCCTTAGCTCTTGATAGCAAAATATTTGGTCCCTCAGCAACAACATTAAATAAAAAAAATGAAAGAGGATCGCCTTATCTAAGCCTTTTTTGTGGACAAAATTCAACAGACGGTGAGCCATTGACCAAAATAGAAATTCGAGCAAATTCCACACATTCTTTCATCCAGCGAATCCATCTTGATCCAAACCAAAAACTGGATAACATCTGCAGCAAACAATTCCAATTAACCGTGTCATAAGCTTTTTGGAAGTCCAGTTTGACAATGAGGCCCTCTTCTTTGATTTTTTCCACCAATCCACCACCTCATTTGCTATAAGCACTTCATCCAAAACATTCCTTCCCTCCACAAAAGCAAACTGAACCTTATCAATCACACTAGGCAGTACTTGCTTGAGTTTATTAGCCAACACTTTGTAGGGAGAATTTATCAAACTAATAGGCCGGTAATTAGTAAGAGAATTAGGGTTTTCCTTCTTGGGGATAAGAGTAACAAAGGAACAATTTACCTCATATCCCAATTTACTGTTACTGTAAAACTCCTTCATGAACTTCATGATGTCATCTTGCAAAAATTCCCAGCTTTTTTGAAAAAAAACATATTAAACCCATCCGGACCCGGGGCTTTATTGCCATCACAATCTTTAATAGCAGCCCATACTTCTTCCACTGAAAACTCTCTCTCCAAAATGTCAACTACTTGATTAGCTCCAATCTTCTGGAGCTCTCCTCCAATTCTTGGCCTATACCTCCATTGTTCAGTAAATAAACTATGGAAATGGTAGCAAGCTGCTTGTTTAACCTCATTGGGTTCTTCAACCTCAACCCCATTAACCTCAAGAGAAGCAATCAAGTTTTTATTATGTCTCTTCGTAGCTATAATATGAAAAAATCTAGTATTTCGATCACCTTTAAAAGCCCAATCCATCATAGACTTTTGCACCCACATCCACTCTATCCTTTTCCTAAACTTCCAAATCACACACCTTACCTCCTTTTTTCTTCCCTTCTCCACCTTATCCAACTCCCTCAGATCAGATTGTAAATCTAGAGAGTGCAGTTCAGGTTTAGCTTCTTGCAATTTTGGGTCTACATCACCAAACAATGTCACATGCCATCTTTTTAAAGCAACTTTCAAAACTCTCAACTTCTCCATAATTACATAGCTTGCCCAACCTTGTACCATTGTTGAATCCCAAACTCTTTTCACTTCATCAAGAAAATTAAGGTGTAAGACCCAAGCATTTATGAACTTAAAATGCCACGCCCCCAAAATTTGGACAATTAAATATTAAATTAGGACTAAATCCCATTTCATCATCCAAATCCTAGGGGTGAAACAAAATCTCAACGTTCTCGTTTCCATAAGGTTTAAGTAAATTTCTATGCTCAAAAGATTACAAGGGATAAAAAAAAAACTAACAAAACGCCAACCAAACCATCCACTATAATTTCATAACTATCCAATACTTTCAACATTAAAGTAACAATAAATAGTCAAAACAACTTAAATAATGTAAAGTTATAAACCATGACAAATTATCAAAATACTAAAGTCATAAAAAAAATAATAAATACATAAACTAATATTAACTCTAAGCTCAAGAAAACAAAAGAAGTCCAAACGACATGTCCAACAACTCTAGTTATTTCTCGTCACCACTATAGTCCCAACTAATATTGCAAAAGAAGCTTGGTTGCGCTCAAATAAAACGCACCTGAGTTGTCAAGAGACAAAACGGGTCAGTATACAAGTATACTAGTATGAGTACAAATATTTGACACCCACGTGTCCATCAGACATAAATAAAAGTACATTTAATTCTTGTTATGGGATAAGACAAGTAGTTCCACCCGCACTGAGATGAATGGGTAGTTTCCCGATATACGGTGACATTTAATATCTTACCCGTACACAACTAAATATAAATTGAGTATAGAATAAACAAAATAAACGTAAAATTATGGTGGGCTAGCCCTGTATAAAAAGTTAGTAAGACCCACCATTCTGCCAAAAAAAAAAAGAGTTAGTATAATTTAATCATAAGTAAATTACTGAAACAGTATAAAAACACATTGTTTCATGCTTAAATCATTCGAATTGACCAAAACTCAAAGAACAAAAGTTGTGCAAAATCAAACTTTCTAAAAGGTAACGTAAACGAATTTAGTAGAAACTGAATAGGTTGAGAGAAAAACTTAATAAAAGAACCTAAACGAAATTCGATTGAAAAAATCTGGAACTGAAAACGAAAAGAATCTGCTCTAAGATGATTTTTTTTGAAAAAGTTCAAAACATAAAAAGTGTTCAGAATAATGTTTTGCTTCAATTTATACCAAATTAATATAAAGAGCTCGTTTCATGAGTTAAAACAATCTCTAAAATCAGCATTGCTAAAATGAATAAAAACTACTATAATCAAGATCATCTGATTACAAGTTCTAATCGATCTTTTTAGTACAAAGTTAAAATACAAAAGTTGTTTAGAATTACGTATACATGCCTCTGCCTAAATTTCATAATTTATCAAGATCGTTTATTATTTTTCAAGATGTACAAATCAACACAATTTACACTATACCAATAAACTCATATTTAATTATTTGTACCTTAACTCTACCACTTCGACCCTTCACTTCCGACCTACACATGTAAGAATCTGAATTTTTGGACAACTAATTAGTTTGTTAATCATAATATTAAATCAATTCATAGTGATTATTAAATTATTATGTTAATAGCATCATAATTAATACCAATATAAAATTCCTTTAAATAAAATTATTTATCTTTCTGTGATTAAATTTTTGTATCTAAATACAGTTGTGGACACTAAATGAGTTAAACAAATAATAACCAAGTTGGTTAGAGGATAGAAGGGAGGAAAAAACATTTAGTGATTAGGATATATATATACATTGATTTTCAACAAAAAAAAAGAGAGAAGTCAGATTTGTTTTTTTGGGCAGAACATTTCGACTGTCTTTCTTCCCAATAAGGCTGTTGTTAAGGCATGCCATGGCATGCAAACATACTCAAAGTCTATTCTTGTCGATGATAGTTCCCAAGCCAAAAAAAATAAAAAAATAAAAAAAATAAATTGCCTCCAAGCTCCTATATATAGTGCACTATTCACCCATTTTCATTTCCACGGCTAAGGAAAAGTAAAAGAGAGGAATAGTAGAAAAGAAAAGTAAAAGAGAGGGAGAAGAGAAGGTCCTTGGTGGTTACCAATTCAAAAAAAGTTTTGAGAATTCTTTGTAAAAGCTTTTGAGGTAGGAATACTCAACCTCCATCCCCCCTTAGATATTTTTCTTAACTGAATTTATATATTAAAAATATGTAAGAGTGTGCATTGTTAATACACAATAGCTCAATGCATGTTTATATTTTGATAGAATGATAATCTTATGATTATATGATTTCTATCCTTCTTGCAAGCATGGATTAGATAGTTTAGCTATTGATTTTTTTCTTCTTATGTGTTCAAATATTCTCCATTGTTTAAATTAATCTCGCATGCTTATGAATTTGTGTTTACTCTTCATAAATATTATTTTCATCTATTCCCTGTTACCACTAATGAAAGTAAATATGAAAGATTAGAGTTTCACATGGGAATAGTAGCAAGAAATAAATTTTATAGTCTTACGTATGATTCATGGTGAATACAAGGTGTGTTTTTCACAAAATAATGAACTTCCTGCAAAATAGATTTTTAATCCGTTTTGAATAACCCAAACAAACTCATGAGAACACTTTCATAAAATCTGAAACTACTGGAGTTAGTTTAACATGTTTTCATGGTGCTAGAATATAGAAAAAAAAATAAAAAATAAAATAAATTATTTCACAACGTTTCGTGGTCAAAACATATTTTTAACTTCATTGTTGTCTGGAGACAACAACAATGCTGACTTTACCAGGTCACCGTTTATTTTATACGATGAGTTTTCAAGTGATTCAAATTGGAAAATTTATATCTTTAAGTTACCTTTCAAATGCCGCTAGTTTCATAATTTTGTTTTAAGCATTGAGAGAGAAACGCCAATTTTTCCAAAATGTGACAGAATCTGTCTAGTTTTCTTAGAAAAATTATTTGACCATCTTCCATTGGGTTTTAGTCTTCAAACTCTTCTGAAAATATGTTCTAAACTTAAATATTTAGCAAACCGTTTTGACCATACCTCTTTTTGACACATTTTGAGGCCCCTTTTTATTTTTCAAATACAAATCACCTGTGCTGCAAGTTAATAGAACTCACTGTCCCAAAAAAACCAGTTTTCTTCCAAAATTTATTTCTCCATTCTAAAATCGTTTTTAGCCATGATATTCTTCTCGAAATATTTTCCTAATTCAATGAACTAGCACCAATTAAAATATTGTTATGGTTGAACTTCGTTTGGTATGGGTTTCATATTTTTTTTATCTGACCATACAGTGCTGAAAGAAAAAGTGTGTGAATTCTTAAAAAATTTTGTGATGATTCCTAAGACATTCTATCATATTTATTTTGGTTGCCATACATGATTGTGTTGTGCTATATAAACATTAGGTCACTGTGATTTTCAAACTAAAACTTGGATATCACTACAACAAAATGCACCTTTGGTGACTAAAAAAGCTTTAGTTGCCAAAAGTTATGGAATTGGCGACCAACATTTTTTTTAGTCGCCAAAAGTAATATATTTAGCTACTAATTTTTTTTAGTCGGGGTATATTCATTATTGGCGACTAAAAAAAAATTTAGTCGCTAAAAATGCCAGAAATGGCGACAAAAAAAAAACTTAGTCGCTGTATATTGACTTTTGGCTACTAAAATATGTAGTCACCGAATGGAAAATAAAAAAATTATTTTTTCACTTTGGCGACTAAAGTTTTAGTAGCCAAAAACTTACTTTCAGCGACAAAAAAAAATTTAGTCGCCTTAGTCGCCGAATGGAAAATAAAAAAATTATTTTTTCTCTTTGGCGACTAAAGTTTTAGTCACCAAAAACTTACTTTCTGCGACAAAAAATTATTTTAGTCGCCTTTAGCTGACTTTTTCTGACTAAAATGTTTAGTCGCCAATTGTAATTAAAATTTTCAAAGAAAGGTTTTGAATTTTTGGCGGGCTTCTTACTTAATTAACGACGAAGCTATATTTTAGTCAGGGGAAATAAGTTAAACAAGGATGTAAAATGTATGGCTAAGATCGATCACTTGAAGAACCAACGGATGGAGATCAATACCTCACCAATAAAATATTAAGGTAGGTGAAGAGAAGAAGAGAAGATGAAAGGGGCGAAGGAGTCTCGCTGCGTCGCCATCCCGCCGCCACTCCTCCTCACGTTCACCAGCAACCGGAGCACCTCCTCCTCCTTCTCCTCCTCCGCCATCGCCATCGTGACTGCTGCGATCACCATTGCCGCAGCTACCACCTCCGTCGCTGCCCTCTTTTCACGCCGCCGCCTTCCCCTCCTCTGTCGATCTTCGCAGATCCACCGCCATCACCGCGAGATTTAGAGGCTTCATCGCTGAGAAGAGACTCCATTGATGCTCCGTTTCGCATATGCTTTCTCTCTCTTTATATATATATATATATATCATGGAAATGAAGTCAATACAGTGGCATCTGATAGTCTAGCTACTTTGTAGGCTATGGAAAAGAATGGAATGGAAGGAATTGTGAGGGCTGAGAGGTTTGTTTGACATTATACATGTGGTATTTGTCAATTCCTTTATAAGTGGTGTCATTGTACCTTAAAGCACAGGATTCTGCTACACCACCATACCACACATATTAATATTGAATTACCAATTCCCTCTTGCCTCCTCCCCTGAGGTACTGCTGGTGGTGGCAGTTTAGAACCCATAGTAAACATTTTCGGAATACTTGTTTTGGCATTGGGAATATTTGACACCATGCAGCTTAATTGCATTTGCTTTGCTAATTTGTTGATCCACTAGCAGATTTTTACAAATTCTACCATCCTATTCTTGATTAATAAAAAATAAAAACCATTTAGCGTAGGCATGAGAAAATATGTTTCAAATGAATTTGAAATCATGAGATGAGAATAAAAATTTATGATTGCATAAAAAGTAATGGAGATAAAACTTTATTTTAATGAAAAATATTCAATATATCAGTTAGGACTATATAGTCTATTGCGACTTCCTCTCACTCCTTTTTATCCTTATGT